GATGCCAGAAACCCATCTGCTCCTTTGAAGCCTGATTCTGCCTTTAGACTTCGATTTCAAACAGCACTTCAGGCTTTATTCCTTCAATGACTGTTTGTAGATCGTGGTGTGAAATTGTTGATGGCTTTTTGCCTGGCTGCTGACACAAGGCTCTTTTCCATGGAGAGAACTGGGGCTGTGCTGCTGGAGATGCTCCTGCCCGTTCTGCGTGCTCCTGCTTTGCTCGCTCAGCATTTTCAGCAAAGCGTGGTGGGTCCTTCCACCTCCTGTACTTCCTGCAATCATGGTTGAAACATCTCCCCTGCAAAATGCATCCATGTGGCAGGGGTCAGCAGGTCCCACCGCGCGTTTGTACCTCTTGCCTGTACCTCACGGGAGTCTCTGCCGGGTAGGAAACAGCCTTTTTTTCCCTGACTTATCCGCGCGTTTGTACCTCTTGCCTGTACCTCACGGGAGTCTCTGCCGGGTAGGAAACAGCCTTTTTTTCCCCGACTTATGCTTTGTGGCTGGTGGAGTTGGATTAGGTGGGAGGAGAACAGGGGCACAATGAATTAAACCAAGTTCCGACAATGATCTTCAAACACTTGCTTAGCAAATGTTTTCTATCTCGCGCCGCCCAAGTCCTGTTGACTTTCTGCCAAAAGCCAAGCAGTTCCCCAGTATGTTTATTTTCCACCCCACACGAGCTGGGTGTCCTCTCCAGGCAATGCCAGCAAATGAGGGAGGTCAGGAACTTTCCTACCACGTATCAATGCTGTCGTGAGGGAGGCGACAAGATCATCATGGGGAGGGAAGGGCAGGACCAGGGGGACACAGCCCTTTTAGACCATCTCAGGCTGTGGTTAGTCACTAGACCCAAAGGCTTTTGTTTCAGGAAAGCCTTTTTGTGGCCAAAATTAATCCTGTCCAGTCTCTCAGCTGCCTCTCAGGTTTGGTTCAACACCTCCCTTGAGCCAGGTCGCACTGCTGGGCATTGAGGGAAGCCCACTCAAGTCCAACCCAACCCTTGTGCTTCAGCTTCAGCATCAGTGGCCAGTAGAAGAAGACAGATGCCTCCTGCCCCCATTACGGGGCAATACCCTCTGATTTTTGTTGCAACTTAAAGTGAGAAGCAAGACATGGTTGATCTAAGCCTCCTTCACCTGTGTTGCTCTGCAGAAGTGTCCAGCTTGGTCTTTCTTGCAGACCTCCCGTGGCCTTGGGGGAATGGGGACTTCCGTACCCATTGCCCAAGGCGGGAAGAGGAGGCAGGAAAACCCACAGAGCTTTCTGGAGATGCAGGAGCAGAGCTCAGATTTCCTTCTCTCAGTCACCAGCACCCCAGCATTCTCCCTCAAAGGGACAAAACCCCATTTCGATTCCCCCTCCCTCCATTCAGTTGAGGGTTTGGACTCAGGGAGCACCAATAAGTCAGTGAGCTACAACCTTTGGGCTCTGCAGGATCCATTACAGAGCAAGGTGTGAGTGTTTCTTCATGAGCTAAAGCAGCAGGTAAATTAACACCCAGTCCTGGAGCCGTGCCCCTTCCTGCTGAGACCATCTTGGGCACAAACAAAAGGGTTTCTTGCAGCCCCAAGCATCCAGCAGGATGAGGATCCTTCCAAATGGCTTTTTAAAAAGATTGGAAAGCAGGTAGCAAACAGGCAGGTTTTTAAAGTGTCTCCTTAATGCAAGCGTCCTTAGGAGGTATTTTAAGGAAAACATAAATATATTTAGTCATCCAAAACTTTCTACATGCTTTTGTTCAACTCATCTAAACTTTGACAGCGAGGGAAAAAAAACTGTGAAAGGCCTTTTTCCTGGCACGGTTGCTGTTTGCAGAGTTGGGTTTGTGTGTTTGCAAGCAGATCTTTTAGTCTTCAGCTGAAACTTGTTCCAGAAAAGACAACTGTCTTGGGGGAAGGGAGCCTGGGCGCAGCACAGGATTTAGCAGCCTCGGTTTGCTGGTCCCACAGCCGATAAAGCTCCTGCTTCACATCTTTTTAACATTCTTTTTTATTCAAAGCAGAGTGGAAACATCATCTCTCACCGCAGCTCTGTGCGTTGCATTGGTCTTCATTGCAGGTGGAGAAAACAAGAGGCCACCCAGTATTGCTCGAGGTTAACGGAGGGAGGTGGCTGAGCCAGGGTTAGATTTTGGGGCTGCTTCCCAGGCAAATGGCTCATTAAACCTTCCTGTTTTCTGGGAGATGGGGTTGGGGAGGGAGAGGAAATTCCCATCTAGAGCCAAAGCATGATTTTTTTGGGGATGATGGAAATAATATCGCAAAATGGATTTCAAGGACTGGACCAGAAGGTGATAGTGAGTATTACCTGTCAGGTCTCAGCTGGAAGACATGTGAAGTATGACAGTGGAGCTAAGATATTTACTCGTTCCTTTATAAATAAAAAGATATCGCCCTCCCCGCTCACAAGACAATTCTCCTTCACTTTGCTGCTGCTTTAACCAGTATTTAGCAAAAATGCTTAATCTGCCCTAACAAAGCATGGTGTAAGTATCAAGAGAACAAATATCAAGGCTTTAACAAGAAGTGTCAATATTGACACTGTTCTGTGTTGAGGGATATTGGTAGGTTGTTTTTATTATAGTAAGCAACTTGTCAGAGGAAAACTCAGATGGAGCTTTGCGAGTGCCGATAAAACCTGCAGGTGCTATTGAAATTGAGCTCTTGTTGGTGTGTGCTTTGAATATAATTTCCAGTTTCAGAAGTCAGCTTTATGACTTTCTCATAGCTCTCCTACCTTTCAGTCTCTCCCACGGTGCAGATTAAACATTCTCCCCCAAAAAGAGTTATTGAAGGATTGAACACCTCCTCCTAGTCTGATGACTTTGTTCCATACCATGAAAATTACCCATCACTGAGTTGAGGTGCCAGTGTAAGGAGCAGGTTTGACACATCACCCCTAGCTTGTGTAGAAACCATGGTTTCTCCTGCTACCTTCTTACAGTTCAGGTTCTGCTCCGTCCCAGGTCATCTGCACTCCTTACATGACTGTTGTGATTTGAAAATTAAAATTATGGAAACCGAAATTGGTTCTGTTTTACCTCAAACCAGGACGATGACGCCTGTTGGCAACAGAAGGCTGAATGTAGCCTGATCTGCCGTAGGGAATCAATAGCTTGAATGCAATCTCTAGCTCAAGCACCATCTCTAAAGTGCTCTCCACACGCTGCAAAATTGGAGGTGAATCCTGCCACCAGGTAGCAGCTTGGAGACTTGACGACTTGAGGAGTTGCAGGCTATGGAAGGGCAGGTCAGGCTCCTCCCCAGCATCCTGCTCATGTGGGACAAGTCGTTTAATCTTGGTGTGTTGGATCTTCAGTTGGAAGTAATACCCCCTTCTCTGGGTGGATGTTGTGAGGGTGCTTACATCAGTAGTGGATGGGTGTGTTGAGGTATGGAAACAATGAGGCTACAGAAGGTGTCCGGGGCCTGGAGCTGGTGCCTGTGCCCCAGCTGGGTGTTTTTACTGCTGGCTGTAAGCCACTCACTTCTCAGTGTCTTATGAAGACTGAATTGCATCACCTTGTAGAGACCTTTCAGAAGTGGCTGGGTTGCCATGTTGAGTGGGAATCACAGGCTGGGTTGCATTTAGGTCATCCAGACGTGGCCCTGACTGCCTTAATCTCAACATTAAAGGTTGCACGGCCTTTGGAGAAGATAAAGTCATGAAAGCACTGTAAAATTTTCCAGCCAGAAACTCAGTTCTGTGCTTTGCAGAGGTCTGGCTATTCCGGGAGCTCAGCACTTTCATTTCACCATCCTGTGGGACCCATTCCTGTTTTCTACCCAGTTGTCAACACATTTTATTGGGATACCTACGTTTTCCATGATTGCAATCCATCAAAATAATGGCCAGGTCTGGCCTTGCCTTAGGTTGGGTAATCCCAAAGAGAGATGGCCGCAGGGCATGTCAGGATTTACAAAATCACAAGCTCTGTGATACCTTTTCTGGGTGTCTGCTTACATGTTGTGTGTTTGTTTCATTCTTTTTATTTTAAACTAATCCTCAAAGTGCTGCAAAGCAGAATATATCCAAATGAAGAGGTCGAAACAGGTCACCTGCAGATAGCAGTGTTCCTTTACATGACTGTTTTTAATGGATGTGTCTGTAACCGTGTCTCAGCTCTGCGCCGTGGTGGCCACGTGGGAATTGTTTTAATGGGAACAGTAAGAACTCCTCAGTCCTTTGGTACAAGGCTCTAATGGGGGAAAGACTCAGAGGGGTTAGGTTTGTGGTGGCCAAACGTGTTTGGGGTGGCCAGAGTTGTTTGGGGAACAGAGTTGCTTTCTGATGAAGGTCTTGCTTGGGTGGAGAGGCAGCATGAGCTGTCAACCGCAGCTAAAAGCATGGCATTTATTGTATGAAGCCTTATCCAAATAAGCCTGGAATGGGATCTAAGTGAGGAACAGGCACTGGTCTCACCCTCCTGTGCAGGATGAATATTGTCTATTCTCAGTTACATCCTACCGACGTAAGAAACCACTTATTTTTAGGTGGTGTTTCCTGAAATAATGGTGGAGAGGAAGGGTCACTCTGTTGTGTGACATCCCAGCAAGTGGCAAGTAGCACTCTGGGAGGTTGTCTTTCCTAAACAGGGTTTCTGTGGTTAGAAAGTTGAACTTGATATGGGTTGTGCATCCCCCTCTTTGGGCTGTGTGGCTAGAAATTACTGGGTATGGGTTATACATCCCCCTCTTTGGGTTCTGTGGTTGAAGCACTGGCCGGAGGAGACCTGGCAGGGGTCACAGCTGGGCTCTTGACTTCCCCATGAGCTCCTGTTATGAGCTTAGGCAAACCTGACCTCCCTGTTCCCCACCTCACACCAGCAAAGGAGGATAACCCTCCACACCAGGCTGAAGCTCACAGCCATGAGCTCCTTAGCTCCCAGGGAGACAAATGTACGCATCACCTAAAGCGTGGTTACTGGAGATGTGTTTCCCAGGATCTCTTTCTGATTTTTTCTTAAATGTACTTGGCTTTGTATTTTCCTTCAGGACCGGGCCATGGGGAGGCTGAGACAAGGGAATGCATTTACTACAACGCCAACTGGGAGCTGGAGAAGACCAACCAGAGCGGCGTGGAGCGCTGCGAGGGGGAGAAGGACAAGCGGCTCCACTGCTACGCCTCCTGGAGAAACAACTCGGGCTCCATTGAGCTGGTGAAGAAAGGCTGCTGGTTAGATGACTTCAACTGTTATGACAGGTAATAGCCCAACTGTTTTTTTTTCTGAATACAGGTTTAATTGTTCCCCTAAATGCAAAGGCTCATGATTTTTGCATCGAGGAAAAGAAAGCAAGTCCAAGTCGATTGGCCCATTCATCCCCTGTAATTACTTCTGTTGCTAATGCAACTCTCAGAATTGTCACTTCT